TTGATTCGCTATGAAAGTTTGACAGATAACATCAGGGGTGTGTGGATTTATGCAGAACATGCAGGGGTGAGTGAAATAGCTTGGGACTGCTTGGGACCGTTGTTCTGGTACTGAGTGAGCCAAAAATAATAATGATTTTCTTCGGGACTCAGTAGTCTTAGAGTTACCTCTATGGTAATACCCCGTTCACATTACAGCCTATATCACGTAATATAGGCTGTCTTGCAATGAGCACTCATACATAGGATTTCCAGTGAAAACTAGATGTATGAGTGCTCATTGCAAGACAGCGTATATCACGTGATATACGCTGTAATGTGAACGGGGTATAAAGAGCTATAGATTCGCCGTCAAGGCCAATAGCATCAATTATATACTTTAAGCTAGTACATATGAGTAGATAGTGTTGCCGTGAGGTACACTCGAAAATTTCAAACGTAAAGGCCCACGCACATTAGATCCGGATCGGACGCGTTGCGGCAAAGTGACAGCTAAATCTATTGTCTAACTGTCAAATTTACGTCAACGCAACGCAAACGGATCTAATGTGGGTGGCCCTTAAGTGCGTCAAATCAAATTTTGAGCCGCTCCGTCTGTCACTTCGTTTGTGATTATATCAAAGAATAATACTAATACCAACAATCAATACGAAACTAACGATTTTAAATTGGCTCACTACTTGACTAGCCTATTGGTCCCAAGCAAACGATTAACGTACCCCATTCTAGTCGAAATTCTAGTACTGCGCAATGTTTGTTTTGATTCGCTATGAAAGTTTGACAGATAAAATGAGGGGTTATTGGTTTTTCCTATTTTTCGAGGGGTGAATCGATTAGCTTGGGACCGAAGAGAGTACCAGAACTGAGCCAAAAAGTTGAGCACGTTATTTCGGAACCTTCTAGTCTTAGAGTTACCTCTATGCTAATACCATAGAGGCAGGGATGCCATTCTCCCCAGTGTAAGCAGGGTGATGAGTTGAAAAGACACCTCGCACTATGACAAAAGCAAACTCACCCGAGAGATCTTTATTTTCTTTTCACTTTCTATCGCTTCTCCTACTTCGCAAACAAATACAGTTTCTGACCTCGCACCTCCACCAGTCCAACACACCGGAGCGGATGAGTGATCACTAGGGAGCACCGTAGAGAGTTCGTTTGCTTCACCGGGGAGAATCACCTCGGTGAAGACTTTGGTTGTTAGTTTGTTGCTAAGAGGAAGAGGAGACAACTGACTTCTTACTCTTTTATCTCTATTTCTATCTTTATCTCTATCTTACGCATTTCCAATCGGCCAATCACGAGCTGGTTCGCGATTGACAGAAAAGTGATTCGTTTTCGCCCCCCGTATTGTCTTCTCTTCCTCTTAGGTTTGTTGCATACAAAAAATTTTTAAAGGTTACTTTTTCTATTAACGTACAGTAGTCAATTATTTTAAAATTTGGTGTACACATTTTGGAAATGCGAATACGGGAAGTGCATCAGCGCACCATTATTGAAATTTGCTTCAGTTTAGTCGACAGACAGACATGGGACAGAGATCGATTAGGATCACAGCGGGAGTTCCACAAGGCTCCATCCTTGGTCTAACGCTCTGGACCGGGATGTACAACGGCGTGCTAACGCTGAAGCTGCCCAAAGTAGTTGAGTAGGCTTTGCGGACGACATCGTCTTGACGGTAACAGGTGAGACGCTGGAAGAGGTGGAACTGCTGGCGCCGAGGTGATCAACATGATTGGTAACTGGATGTAAGGAGCGAAGCTGCAGATGGTCCATCATAAAACGGAAGATCTATTGGACAGTAACTGCAAAGCGGTACAGCGGGAATATATCACCGTCGGGGGCATGCCATAACCTCAAAGTGGAAGACAGCGAGTGCTACAGGCGGAGGGAAACCGGAAGAGTACGGAAAGTTGTGAGAACGGAGTCGTTGGCTAAGTGGCAACAGGAGTGGAACACGGCAGAGAACGGTAGATGGACACGTAGACTAATAAAGAGATGAAACAGGCTCTGGCTGAAAGTCTCACTATTAAAGATAACCTAACCTAACCACTAATACAGATTTTTTTCGACCTGGGTGAACAGAAATCACGGAGACTTCAAATTCCACCTAACGCAGTTCTTGTCTGGCCGCGGCTGCTTCAGGAAGTATCTGCATCGGTTCGGACACGCAGTGTCACCCCTCTGTTAGGAGTGTGGCAACGTAGATGAAACACCGAAGCATGTGGTCTTCGACTGTCAAAGGATCGAGGCAGTTTTGTGAAGGGAGATGCCCGTCCTTAACGTGGAGAATGTCGTCGTTGAAATGTGTCGAGAAGAAGACACTTGGAATGCCGTCAGCAGCTGCAGCGAAAATGGAGAGAGGAGCAGCGATCTAGCCACACCAGAACACCCGATGAATATTGACGAGATGCCGCTTCAAGTTGAATACCGTGACCACTTTTAATGTTTTTTTTCATTTGCCCTGCAAAGCACAACATTCACAACCACTTTTTCGGTACTGTCCTCAAACCGCACTAAACTCAGCAACACAAAGGCGTTCGGTAAAATGGCATTCGGCAAAATTTTCCATAGTAAATTTTTTTTTTCGCCTCTCCCTAGCTCAAAACCTGGCTACGCCCTTGTCTTTGTATACGTTTTTCAGCCATTTTATAGATGTTTTCACTCACTCACGTCAAGCTCTGCCGGAATCTTTGGAGAAACAATAACGCATTTGCGCTGCTATCTTTCTCACGGAAGTGAGTGTATAAACAGACAAAAAGTGAACTGTCAACATTCTCACTCTCTCGTGCTGTTTCTAAAAATCTCTCCAGTGGTGCCAGGAGAAATCTCCGAGGAGACAAGCAGAGAATCACCCCAGAGAATGATATCTCTTGCACCCGGGTGATTCTCCCCAGATAATTTTCAACTCTGCATAGAGGTAACTCTAAGACCACTGGGTCCCGAAGAAAATCATTATTATTTTTGGCTCACTCAGTACCAGAACAACGGTCCCAAGCAGTCCCAAGCTATTTCACTCACCCCTGCATGTTCTGCATGAATCCACACACCCCTGATGTTATCTGTCAAACTTTCATAGCGAATCAAAACAAACATAGTGTAGTAATAGAATTTCAACTAGAATAGGGTACGTTAATCGTTTGCTTGGGACCAATAGGCTACTAAAGTGGTGAGCCAATTTAAAATCGTTAGTTTCGTATTGATTGTTGCTAAGTCGTGGTGCGATAAGCACGTAGCGCTGGTGGATAAGGTGAAATACTCTGAGACCGAGGCCGGTGGGATTTACAACGATGAGATGGGACCGTACAGGAAGCTGGAATAGATTCGTGCCCCGTGCTGTTAGAATGGCTGGTTCCATCGGATCTGCGTGGCACAGTTTGCCCAATCTGCGGGGTACTTTCTCAAGCGCCCTTTGTGCAGCAACAAGGACAACTTTAGCCAGGAGATGCAGCAGCGCATGATTTATATACCGGAAAAGTAAGTGAGGCGGAGGTGGGTGAATCGGTATTGAAATACTGAATATTTTTTATTTGTTCTAGAGATGCCTCGTGGTAGCTGGTAACTGGTCAAGAAGATTTGACTGCCACGAGGGACTTCCGTCGAAAATTTACTTCGAGCCATACTGGTCGTAAGGCTCGAGAAGCTCAGCTCGGAAAAGATCAAATCGTTGACTTCTCCGAAGAATGAAGTATCCTCCGCCGGATCATCGACCGTGTTCGATTTCAACTATCGTGTGAAGTTGAACAAAAAGCAGCGTCGAAAATCGATGGTAGAATTGCAGTCCATCAAAGAGGTCATCCGTTCCGACACGGATATGCTAACGGATGTCTCGGCGGAACAGGAGATCGTACGTACCAAAACGCCTGCCCAGAAATCCTTTGCCGAGCAGTTCAAACAAAAGCTTCTCGGGTCCAAATCCGAACCAAGAAAACGGTCGACCAGAGAATCTGATCCGGAGCACGATTGCACAAGATTTAATTGCTTCACCGAGGTTTTCACTTTCCTAAGAAAATAAACTGTATATTATTTGAATTTATTGCTTTTCAATCAATAAAAATACCAACATTAAAATGGCAGTGATCAAATACATTGTATAGATAATCCACCGGTAAACTACGCATGTATATTCAAAAGATAAACTATACCCCTTATACTTCAAGTTTATACTAGGCTCGTTTTGTTGGCAACTAAACGAAGCCTGGGGTCAACCAGGCGAATAGCGTTTTAGCACAAACGAAGTGACAGACGACTAACTGGCGAAGAAATCCATTAAAATAATGTGGTTCACTGTAATAGAATTTTCTTGGAAGCTTGTGCCATCATCCACCAGATGGGTTAGTTTTTTTGTTTTGATTTGAACAAAGTTGATTTTGTGTACAATGATTCTTTGACAGTGTGCAAAGAGTGTATCATTTTGTCATTTTTTTATGCATTTTAGTTTTGAGTAGAGTGAAAGAGATAGAACCAAAACATTCTAATACATTTGGTGAAAATGCTAATACAATCCAGTAGTAGTGTTGCCATGTGGTACAATTCAGTAGTAGTGGTGTTGCCATGTGGTACACTGAAAAATTGAAATAGCAGGTTAGTCATTAAAGTTTTCGAGCCGCTCCGTCTGTCACTTCGTTTGTGGTTTTAGTGTGATTTTTATACTAATTAGTTTAATTTTTTTCTGAGTGTAGTTCTACGTCAAAAATCAATTTCCACAGCGAGAGTTTCTTTCAGTGTAGTGATTTCCCAGCTCTATATATATATATGCATGCAAGGGTTGCCAACTCGTCACCAATAATTTGCCGATTGGCGTTGACGGCACCGTCGTTAAATCGTCTGTTAGAAAAGATTGACAGTATCTTACAGGAATTTTCGGTGAAATGAAAGGAGAGTACTCAACCCGCAATTTTTTATGCACAGTTTGACGTTTGCTTATGGATTTTACCATAGGAGTGAAGAGCTACAGAGTTACCGTCAACGCCAACACAAGTTTATAAATACGAGTTGCACATCATCGTTCACTGTCAGTCAGGTTAAGTTTTTCTTACCGACAACAACATTAGCTTTTGTATTCTCCCCTTCGTTTCGATTGTTATCATTAATTCCGTTTGTATTCCTCTTGAATCTCGGAATATTATATTCTCTTGTCACCACCGCTGGTTTGATAAGAAAAACATTGTGGTGTGCTACCTGTTGTGTATTTGTGCAATCCTGATATATTCGGTGCTTATATAACTCGACCATTCCCGTCCTGTTGGAAGTACAAAAGCCGGTGTACAAAGAATTCAAAGCTTCAGTATACAAGTGGTGTGTGATTTGGTGATACGACAGAAACTGCAAAGCAACAAGATGTCTCGCAATCCAGCAGAGAACCAACTGAACATGTACAAGGAAACCCAGAAGGTAGGTGGCAAGTGCATAGATTTGGATTTTCTTTCGGCTTATCATAACATGAGAAAGCATTTTGCATGTTCTACGTCTATCTCTGATTGGGTTCTTTTCAGTTGTTTTTGTGTGGCATCGAAAGCGTAATAGAACTAGGTTATCAACGGCAATGACCCTTGAACTCATACGATACCTAACATTGATTTGCATACGAGCGTGTCTGACTGTTCATTGTTCTACTCAAATAATTAAAACATCGAAATACTACAGTGTTTCCAATCCCCATCAATCGTATAACTGAACATTTATAATAATAATCCATGTAAATCATGAGTCATCAATTCAGCATGCATATGAATGGTTAGTACAATAGTCTGATAAAGTGTAGGTATCTCAAGTTGATCAACCATCTACAACCCTAATTAACTGCATTCTCATCTCACTAGTCGTCCATTTAATTACATCTTGATCTATTGAAATAACTTGTTTAGGAACTTTTTTTTCCATATTTGAATCAATTTATTTTAAATTCTTTCTATATGATCACTGCATGTTTCCTTTGAAAAGCGTCTTAAAAATCATTAGTTTAAACAGCATGTTTTTAGTGAAGCCCGTCTTAAGACGTTTATTGATTTAGAATTCTGGAACGCAGCATTCTTCCAAATTGTTTGAAAACGTGAAAGGAAGTAGTACTGGAAAATATTATCTTTTTGTTGAGTTCTTGGCATTTTTTCTGGAGAGTTTAAGATTTCTTGTTGTGAATTTCAAAAAAATGCCCAAGAAATTATTTCAAACATTTTGATTATTTCTCAGAATGTTAAGGTTTCATTAATGAGTGTCCCTTATTTTGCGTTTAGTGTCACTTGAATGGTAAATAAACACGCATTCTACCGCTTGCAAAATAAAATTATCAACCAATGACAGTTAAAGAATTTAGGGTAACTAGGGGCAAGAAGGTCACCCTAACGATAGTGTGTTGTTATATGCGATTCCGTTAATATTTATAGGAGTTTGTGCACCGAATTGTAAGTTTATAACATTGTCTCCATGTATTATCATTGACATTAATATTAAACCCCATAAAAAATCGTTAATGATTTTTTTTTAAATGTTATGCTCTAAAAATGCTATTGGGCAAGAAGGCCACTCTTTTCATACATCACCACAAAATGATTTTTGCATGTTTTTTGCGACTTCGAAGTTTCTAGAATGCTTCATAGGAATACCATGCATTGATTCATGGTGAGATAGAATTGAAATGTTTTCATTTTCAAGATATATTGGGGGTGGCACTCTTTCCCCGGGTGACCTTCTTGCCCCTAGTTCCCCTATGTGTTCACTTCGAATCTTTCCAGTGAGCAGATTTCCTTGCATCATAAATGCAAGTTATCAATACGAATACCAAATACAATTGTATAATTTATATGCACTTCTTTGTGTTCATTACCATCCCATAACACAAACGAATGAACCGACGGAGATAAGAACCACTACAACGAATACCATATCAATGTTCAACAAACAACAAATAATAGCATTACGCATGGAATCCGTAATCACCACGAACACCGAATGGATTTTACCGGCCGGACAATGCTTTTTATTGGATTCGATAGCGGTAGCTTGTTTACTCTTCGGTTTCTGCATTGCAATTCACAGAGGTCAGCTATCTATCCAACAAGCGACAGCGTGAGATTGCAAGTTCAAAAAAATTCCTTGCCGATCCAAAGGTAATTCGAGAAAAAAAAAACTAACGACCGACCAACCTCCAGTTGCCAACTTGAACCGCTGAATTTGTTCAGTAAACAAGTCTTCGCAAGCTTTATATTTTTAGGGGTTGGCACGATAAGAGTTCACTGATAAGCGAGGACTAGTCGCGATGTTTTGTTTTGCTTATCTATACTTATATATCATCATAGGCGCAAATCCATCTTGGACAACAGTCCTCTGGTTAAGTATATAAATTGCTAACATTCTGATAGTGGCGTCGTCCTAACAAAAACCCCTCAAAACGGGTCTGATACGTTTGGCATAAGGATATTTGGCATAATTGCTACTATTCGACATATTTCTGAAACCAACAGTTAATTTAAGTTACAGTTAAATAATATATGATTATTACTTCTTTTAATTGCTGCTCGTTCTCTCATAATATCCACGTTCTTCCACGGTAATTAAAGGCCTCGAAAAAAGGCTGCTTTTCCACGGTAATTAAAGGCCTTGGAAAAAGGTTGCTCATGTTTGAAAGAAGAAGAACTGCTGCAGCAAATATTGCAAATATATACTCATGTTTTTTTCTGAATTAGATAGCGGCGCCGGTGGTGTAGTGGTAAGCGTGATTACCTCTTAACCCAGCAGGCCTGGGTTCAATCGTAGTCGGCGCCAAAGGGATTTTCTGTGGCATAAAATCTCTGATCATTCGGAATGGAAGTAAAGCCGTTGGTCCCCGGTTCATGAGTGTATGGGTCGACAGGTAGGGAGCTGCCTTCCTGGCGTCGGTAGCATTGGTGCTCAGCACGGAAAACAAATCAAAGGAAAAAAATGTGTCAAATACATACTTTACAAGCTCTTCTTGTATCTTACAAGTAAAAAATATGCTCAAATCATCTAATTATTTAATAATTTCGAACAACTTTTTTTTTTGACCACTTACAGGCCAAATAGAAAAAAATAAGACTCGACCTTCTCCGGTTTACATAAAACTTTGCATAATTATATGTTACTAGCTGAGTAGCCCGGCATTGCTCGGGATTCAATATTAGCTTAAATTTTTGGGCCGATTCAAAAAAGCATGCTAAATTTTTCTGTTTCATTTGTATGGGACCCCCCTCCCCCCTTACAAAAAGGGGGTCTCGAAACATCATAAGAACCTTTCCCGGCCCCAAAAATCCCTGCATACAAATTTTCACGCCGATCGGTTCAGTAGTTTCCGAGTCTATAAGGGTCAGACAGACAGACAGAAATTCATTTTTATATAAAAACTAGCTGAGTGTGCCCGGTCTTGCTCGGGATTCAATATTAGCTTGAGTTTATCAAATATTTTGAAAATAATTTTATGGTTATTTATGGTTCTGATATAGTATATAGCAATGTAGTATCAACGAAAGTGTTGATTTTATTTCTGTGACGCACATGTTTTTTTATATGGTGATGAACTAGCCCAGAAGTGGCTAAAAATCACCCTAATAAAGTATAAATAAAATCATGATTTAGGGTAAATGATGGCTTCGGCAGCCATCGACTGTTTTCGGCAACGACAATTTAAACGTTAATTTCGATGTATTTTCTCACTAAAACACTTCGCTGAATGTATTTAAACGATTCCTTAGTCTTTCAACTTCCATCCTAATACATTTTTACGACTGAGCAAACCTGTTATGACTGGTGTTTCTGCAAAAGAAACATAAGCACATCAAAATACGGCTGATTTCGAGTTGCCGATAATAGAACAGCTGGTTTACACGCAGTTTAAACGGAAAGGTTGCCGAAGTAAAAGAGGCTGCCGACAATAGTCACACTCACCTGAGAAGTTTGGAGCGCCTTAATAACGTTTTCAAACCGTTTTGGACAGTTTTGTTGATTGGAATTGATAGAGTAGCTAGCAGCAGATGAATGTAAACAAACAGACACGTCATATGTGTGCGTGACACTGAGAAAATGCTAATAGAAGTGCGGAAGCTGCTTAGATTGACGAGAATACGTAAATTCCCCTATATGGTTTGTATTGAAAAATATCGTAAATTCAATAATTTAATAGAGTTAACAATATTTAATATGCTTATAAGAACATTGTTAACATTGCAAATATGCTTATAAGAATAGTAATTTGTTGCTTATAAATAAGCATTAATCTATTTCTCTAAAGTATAGATTACTTCCAATGATGACGCAAAAATATCAACTTAAACTAGTGCTTGTCAAACAAATTGTACAGTCACCTGCCTTCACCTTCACTGCGTCGTTGATGACTGATTTTTTGGAAAATAAATTAAAAAAATTCTAATAGCAGAGCACACATCCGGTAACGTAGTCCACACATTATATCCCCTTTGTTGTTATGGTTGAAAGCCACTCTTTGTGTTCATGGACGATTGCACCGATGAATTTTAGTTCATGCTCTAAATTTATCAGGTACACCTTAACTCAATTCAGACAAAAAATCTCTAAAATGAGAACTTTTAAAGAAAGACCAGTAAAGAACTTATCAACACATTGTAGTTTCATTTTTATACCTGTAATCTTGACTTTTTAACCTAGGGGATGAGTACTTAAGGGGGTTATATTTTGATAAGTTCTTTGGTGGGAATGACTGATGAAGACTGCACATTGTAGTCGATATACGTATCTGTCATGGATACCAAAATTAATTAAGTGGAATTAAATGGAAGATAACCTTTTTTTGCTGTTTTATTTATTACAGTAGTTTGATCTATTGTGGTATACCCCGTGTGCTTAGTGTAGTGCATGTCGTGTTAATATATCTCTATTGAGAAATGGTTTTGATACAGATGTCATTCTTGCGTTCATCGCAAGGAACCGTTTCTAATTGAAACGTCTCACTATTTATACCCTTCGAAGAGTTAGAGCACACTCCAAAGGCGCGTCCCTTTGTCAGTCGTAATCGGATTCCTTAACAACAAAGTTAAGGAATGACACCGATATTGACCATGTATCAGACCCTAGAAAACAACGAATAAAAGATTAGGAATCACATAGATGAAGACTAACTAACTCATTTTTCCTTATTTCAAGATCATCCTCGGTGGATCAACCCGAGCTTTGTCACTATTATCAAGGCGTTAAAAGTAACAAGGACTAAGATGTGTTTCTTTTGATTACTGAAAAGTCCTGTTCTCCTAGTTTGAAGTAGTCAGAACTAGGGTTCGATGGTAGATCTTACACCGTAACGCGCACCACGAAAAGGTGATCTACCCGCGTTGCGTGGGATCCTTATGTTTACATTTACGGAATGCTGTCGGAATTCAAGCACAAAATCCATTTGGCATAAGGGTCATTTGACTTTTATGACTATTATTAGTTATTTAGAATAACGCATCGCATTATATTGTTGGAAATTACATTCACTGAAAAAATAACAAGTTCTAGTTAATCATGCATAAGAGATACAGATTTGAATTGCTGACAAAAGTTGTAGTTAATCATGAAACCTACAAAACCTTCATGGATAATTTTACCGAAATATGTTGATGAAAAAAGTTAGCGGCAAATGAATGTAAATGAATGCACGAAATGAAGGTAAATGATTTCCTATGCCTGCTTACGGTACACAATATTTTGTTGTACCTATCGTAATCGAATTCTGTTATTAAGCATTTTAAGTCCAATATATTGAATATTAATTCAAGTCCGGATTTTTTAACGGCGCCGGTGGTGTAGTGGTAAGCGTAATTACCTCTCACCCCAGCAGGCCTGGGTTCAATCCCAGTCGGCGCTGCCGGGATGTTCTGAGGCATAACATCTCTGATCACGCCTTCCTTCGGACGGGAAGTAAAGCCGTTGGTCCCCGGTTCATGAGTTGATGGGTCGATAGGTAGGGTCCAGGTGTGGGAGCTGCCTTCCTGGCACGTCGGTAGCATTGGTGCTCAGCACGGAAAACAAGATCGACGGATAAAACAAACCAAAGGAAAAAAAAAGAAAAAGTCCGGATTTTTTTCCTTTTCCATAGTACAGGATACCAAAAATTAAGCATGAGATCTAAAAAAACAATTTCCAGTGTCTGGCATTTTCAATAATTTTGATAATTTAGAACCTTTAGAACTTTTCATTTCATTGAAAATTTTTCTCACATATCTTACTGTTACCATTTTCTGTAATTTTCACCTCCATAATCCTAAATAATTTTCGTAAACCACGCACATAGATTATTTTACAGGAGTCAGTATTTTTCACTGGATTTTTGAATTGCTGGTAAAAGTCGGTGAAAATTCGAATGACCGTTATTCGTAAGGAATCAATGAAATCGAGAAATTTGATTTTCTATCATTAAATGGGGTTAACAGAACCAAGTATGTACAATTTCGGAATAAATTTTCTCATTTTTGAATTTTCCACAGTTTTTTTAAAACTTTTACCGAACAGTTCCGCAATTTACAAAAAAAAAACAGTTAAACCTTACTGACCAGATTAGTGTGCAGGATTTGAAATTTGTTCTCAATCCAAGTCTCAGAATCTTAAGATGTTTTGTTATTCCTGGATCTTAAATTTCTGTGCACTGAATCTTAAAACTTTTCATTATTTGAATTTTGTCAAGGATTTATTTATGATCTTTCCAAAAAGACTTACAAAGAATTACTTTTACTTTCAGGATTTCCTTCAATAATCTTATGATTCTGTCCGATATTTGCTACAAATATTCTCCATTACAGTCTCGGAATTCTGTTCAGAACACAATCCTTTCAGAATATGTAATGTCGGCCTAAATTCCCCTAATTTGGGCCCATACATAGATTCAGCAATCGACTAAATTTTCAATAGCAACCAAAAATATCCATTAGTACCGTCCCAATGACGCGTTCATCAAGATACAATTGATAAATAGCAGATTTTTAGCGATGGGCCAAACATTAGAGCCATTTCCCCTACACTGTTAATTTATCTTCGCATTCTTAATAAAACTTGTTTAATTTTCTTTAGAATTCGCGGAAATCTCTTACTATACCAATAAGAATTGAGAAATGTTGTCTCCCAAAATTGCTTTGGATTTCACCTTCTTCAGATTTTCTTGGAGCACTACTCACAGTTTGTTTGGAAATTTACTCATAATCTGTAGCCAAAACCTCCCAAAAATCCTATGAAATTCCCTCAAATTTTCCTATCAATTCTCTAAGAAATTATTTTGAAACTACCTTCAAACAGTAGCATGAAACTCTGTAAAGAATGTGATTTCCATGCTGTTATAATCCATGATTACTTGCCGCTCTTCTCATTTTTTCTTTTCTTTGGTTGATTGATTGATCAACATTTAAGTGATTTTCAGCCGTAGGTGATCATTAGGCGTAATTTCAGGATTGTAGTCTTGGAGTTAAGTTGGTCGTATGGTTAATTCACTTTGAAGGAATGAGTATCCCTAGTATGCTCCCTGAAATTCCTCCCAGTTTGCTTTGGAGTTCCCTGAAATTATATTCATAATCCCCATAATAGTTTCTTTAGAACTACCTCAACCCAAGAGCAGTCGCGTCAAATCACCGTTAAATAAACCTTATTTTTGCAAGCGATCTGGGTTTTCATTGTATTTCAAAATGAACTCTTCCTCTTTCTAGTGATGTATAAACATTTTAAAAATTCCCAAGCTAATTGTTTAAAAACAAATCTATGCGCGTGTACTCAATGCACCAGTGCGATTACTGAAAGGTTAAAACTCACCTTTACTTCTCCTTACAAATTTCATGAGATACTTCTCAAAATTACCTGAAATTTCTAGTAAAATTCCATTGAAATTCTCCCTTTTCCTAATGCTCCTTTAGAATTATCCCTATATTTCGTCAACAACTATTCTCAAAATTCATTTGGCATTCTCATCATAATTATCTAGCCAATGTGACAGAGTTTTAAAATGTTATCCAAGTTCAAGAGCCATGATTTTTTTTTATATGAGATCTTTAAAACACTAAATATTTATTGTAAAGAAATTTCGCAAAGTTTAAGAATGTGAAAAATTTGCCTGACCTCATAATCTAAATAATTTTGTCAAGCAATCTTCGAGCAATCAGTCCGAGTATTCAAATGTTCGTGGATGTCATTGCTTTCTAGAAGAATATTCTAGCTCAATATATCAAGGCCTAGTATCCTTCCTATAATTTACGTGTAATTTAAATACACTTCAAAATTCTCAAACTTCTAAGAGTATTTCAAATTTCTGACGTCTTAAAATTATCTAATTACTGGAGCATAATTTGACTATTTGTTGCGAACCTGAAATTACCAAAATTCTAAAAATTTAATAGAGAGGTGGGAGGCAGAGAGTTTTTCTCCAGTATTCTTCAAGCTACCGTAACTTTTTTTTCAGTGGCATCAATTGCTGAAATCAATTATGTCGGTATTCCTTTTTTATCATATATTGAATCCGGGAAAAATATGTCTTAACCCTGTTCATGAAAAGTTGACCAAAAACGTCCTATACGGCCGGTGGAAGCATATCTGTCCCATGTTATATTAGAGTTCTATAGAACATGGAGTTATGCGTCCCCCGGCAGTATATTTCTGAATAAATGCATCATGGGCTGATAAAAGCTTGTTTTCCGTTTGATCAAAACTTTCCAACAATATGACCAATTTATATTGACAAAATCTTGCTATGATCTAGATGTTATTTCCATTGCAATTTCAAGATATAGGTAGATGATAGTAGCAAGTCATTATCATCTGAATGATATATATATTTAGCTATGTCCAACAATGGCAAACAAATGTCGTGTTCTTATCGAAGGAAATCGCACATCGTCGTTAGTCGCATATTGTCTATTTAGTTGAGATTGCACAAATGCTTACCTTGCAAACAATGCTTCTCATATACAATAAATAAACTTCCGTTCAAAATGTGCAAATATTCACACTGCGGACTTGATGATTAGTACTAATGACCCGCCCATTCATTTTTCCTTTAAATTTCAATAAAAATTCGCCACTGCCTGCGAACGATTAAACTCCGTTACATCACATCAAAATTGAGATACTTTCTCCTCGCGCAGCCAGCTTTTTAAAAGATGCAGCTTCCAGTCGAGAAGCGATCGATGCGGCCGACTTTACTACACATACCTACCCTGCACGTACCCACGATGACGGTGAGGCTCAGGTACTGAAGAAAATACTTTTGACCCAGCTGCGTAGGCTGAACTTACACCACCTATTCATTGCAAACGACCACAAAAAAAAATCGTGCTTGTGTGTCTGCTTGTATGCAAAAAGCGAAAGACTAGTGCTGCTCCATCGTAGTTTTCACGCGGTCAGTGGTCATTAGCTGGTTTACCGGTATTTTTTAGAACGTTGTTTGTTGGATTGGTCGCAATCATTTTGAACGAAAAAACGAATGGTCACGCTATGGTCGATTCGTGCTTAAGGAATGGGTCACGCAGCAGATAGTTGTGTCAAGTTCTACGATATATCAATAGAAATGTATAATGGCTCCCTGGAGACTGATTCGATCAACAAGAGGCCAATAATTTTAGTGCTATCTCTTAACCTTATCTCATTTAGTGAAGGTGATAAAAAAGAGGGTGTATTTAGCATTTTATTTCAATCCCAGGTGACTAAGTTGAACTATGTATTAAGATGATAGTTCACAATGAAACACTTCTGTAGTGCGACTTTGTAAACATTACGAATTATTAATAGGTAAAAGAGCTCTACCGTTTGCCTAAATTCAATGTTGCTAGTGCGTATTTTTCCGCTCCTTTTTATGAAGGGTAAAATAGTTATATATGAGAAATGAAGGAGTTATCTTCCATAGAATAGAAATATTTTCCTTTACAGCAATTCCCAAATACAATTCATTGCAATAAAATTACATTAGGAATAATTTTAACTCGCTGACATAAAATCGCTGATTGTGACTCTTTAAAAGCGAAATTTATAGGTTTTATGTATCAAAATAACTTTTCAACCTCTTCTTGTAACTTACAAGGTTTGCGTGGGTGACCCTTGGTCGGCGAAAAAGGCCCTACAAAGGTTTGTTTATTGTTTATAATGTGTCAAATACACACTTTTCAACCCCTTCTTGTAACTTGCAAGTACAACATATCATATCAAAATAGCATCCAATGATTCCATAATTTCAAAAAAACATTATTTATAGTATAGCGAAGTGAGTGGAAGCAATCCTGTCGAAAAGTGCTACACACTTTAGAATAACATAACGGCCTACTTTTCGTAACTAAAATATCAGTACCGAAAAGCTCTACTGCTTCGACACTCTTTTGAGTGTGCAAGAAATTTAGTAGCCTTAAGTTAGTATCTTGTTTGTATTCGTAAAAATGGGAAACCCGGGTTATATAACAATGAACTAGAAGAATATTGAACAAGAATGCAGTAGAATATTTACCGCAACGCCCATCCATATTGGCAGGATCTGTATATAACATTATATAATGTATATTTAAGATGGCGCAACCTGGTCATTTTCGTTTTAGCGCCATTTATAAGGCGTCCCAGATTGACTAAGCACGATATTTAAAAAAAAATGCTAATATGACTTAGTTTCCAGCTAATTCCATTGTTATTTCATATTCATGTTCTCTAAAGTATTCTCTTTCAGTTTATCTTACGCTACTCATTAGCTTAAGCACAGATGCCTTTCCAAAAATTTTGGATACTTTTTTCCAGTCTTTTCCAAACGTTGTAACCGAAATCCGCCGCC